CATTTCTGCAGGAAGAAAGAAATCCCTACAGATGCTTACAGTTGTCCCTCCATAAATGGCTTGTGCTTCATGAAACTCATTTCAGCACACATCTCTAGTTGCTTTCTGCTTATGTTAGGATAGGAGACTGCAGTTTCCCCAGATCAAACTGCAGCTCTCCCAGTCCTATGGGTGACTCTCAAGGGCAAGTTTATCTAGAGATCTCTCACCCCAGGAAGCAGGACAGACTTTTAAATGTGCGTACAGATTTTAGGAAAAAGTTACACTACAAAACTATTGTCTAGAAAAGAGGTTCAAAGAATGGTTTCACCGTTTTGAAATATTTCACCCATTTTATGCACCGGAATAAAAACAGGTCACAGTAGGAAGGAAGATCACTGGTTCCGAGCTCAGATATAAAAATTAGTATGTTTTAACTTGGATAGCAAGAGAGACAAAAACTCAGCAATGATGCAAAAAACCCCTTGTGCATATGGAAGAGCTAAGACCTAACTGCTCTGCGGCTAATGCAGCAAGGGCTCCCAACCTGAACACATTGACACCGCTGCGTGAGAGGTTTCCCATGAAAATACAGATATTGATAGCCTAAAATTTAATAGAGAAAAACAATCCCATTCAGATCTGCTAGGCTTCAAGCAAGTCAAGGGTACATTAAGCCCTTCACTGTAATGGAAAATTAACTTATTTATGGAAGAATTTAAGTGCTACTTAAAGTACTAAAACCACTGTCTCTGTAGATAGTATTTCAGAAGCTAGCAGAAAGCAATGCTTAAGAGACTTGTTGCTCCTCTCCCCCAACCCTCAAATTAAAAAAAAAAAAAAAAAAATTAAAAAGCAAAGCAGCAAGCCACTCACCTGCATTTTCACAGCTTTATACGCCAGCCTGGAGAACTTTGTAAGAGGAATTACAGAGCAACATGGGCACGCACACAATGATTTATTGCATGTCTCACCTGCCCAGTGGCGCAGAGAACCAATAGAGGTGCTGGATTATATACTGCACAATTTTAATTCTCCCATCCAGTAAACATAGTAAATATGAGTACAGCCTGTCCCGGTTTAATGGAAGGATCCTTTGCTACTAGGGCATGATGCTGCTTACATCAAATCTGGTGGAAATTTTCGTTAAGACTTCTGAGAAGAAGGAGGGACTGTTCTCTCATGAAAGGAGACAAAAGCACCTTCCACTGCAAAGCAAAAACCTTCATGAAAACGTCTTTGAAAAGTGACCGCAGTACTACAGTTGAGTCTGAACATCCCTGCCCACACGGCTTTGAGGCACTGCTTCCACAGAAAGGGTTCCCAGAGCAACTGCATGGGCCAGTTGCTTCATCCCTCAGATGAGAAGGTCCTTTCGGAAAACTTTCATTTGGAGGATACTGGAATCTAGGAAAATTATCTGATTGCTCTTAAAAGAGCAATTTTATACCAACTAGTTTGGAGTTTAATGGGGATCTTCACTCATGAGCGTGGAGTTAAATGAACGATCAACTTCAAGTACATGCTCAAGGCTTTCTAAAACCCTTGAGGAATAATTGTGACATCTCCTTTTTACACTGTTGGAAAACTGCTTGTTACGGGACCAGGCCAACTAGTGTCTCCAGCAATAATGACACTGTACTGTACATAACAAATGTCTTTGCAATTAACCTTTTGCTTTTAAGAATCGCTCCTCTCCGTGGGAACCACTTTAAATCATTCTGTTCTACGTTTCAGCCAAAGATTTCTAAGAAATGCCTCTACACTGCTGTTTTATACAGATATCTCAGCTTGCTCCCCTAAGGGGGTTCAACATACAGAACTTGCTTCTCCTGTGGCCTCCTTACACGTTTCAGAGGAAAAATAAAAAGACAGACATGAAGCACTTTCTCATTCTCTGAAAAGAAAGAAGCCATGCTCCCCACTGCTCTCTTCCCAGTGCCCGTCTCAAAGACAAAACCTCCACTTTTAAATCAAACTGAAGGAAAAGGACATTTGATATCATGGTCTAGGAAAAGCTCCCATTGAAGTCTAATCTTTCCACCAATTTCAGGAAGAGTTGAAGCAGATCGCTACCAAACACTAAGAAACAGAATATAAACTCCACATTCTACCCTAAGTGGGTTTTCTGGTTTTGTTATTTCTTTTTTTTCAAATTTGAACTGAGACTAATACTTTCAATAGAAAGTACAGCTAACTTTTCCTCTTGTACTACTTGTACACATAACACAGTAAAGTCACTTGTTTGTCATGCACTTCTCTAGCTCACCTGGATCTTGGGCTATTTATTGAACATATATAAAATTATACATGTTCCTTTTCTGGGTTAAGTAAAGGTGGCCTGTCCACCTTGGTAAAGCCCGGTATTTAATGTCTTTGGCAGGATAGATGACGTGTCGTGACTTCGAGCCCCTTATCATTCCTACATACTGTCAATACCCTAATTATCAAGCTTTTGTCGCGCTTGCCCTTTGCACTCTGGGGTCCGGCTCCCGCCTTAGATAGACAGATAGAAAGAGTCAGTTTATTTACAATTCACTGAGTCATACAATTACAATTCATTAATTCATTAAGATCTTAAAATAGTCCGTGCCTGACTGGCAAATATATGTACAATATCTACTGAAGTAAATAACACCCGGTTCTATAACCGACAAGCGACCTTCTCCTGTCGGGAACTGGAGAGTCCTATTTCTTTCAACAACTCGTAGTTGCCTTGATACCACTTTCCATGTGCTTCTAAAGGAAATCCTATAAATTTGATAGTATTGGCATTTGTAATTTCCTGAACTTGATCTTTAAGATGTTGACACTTTTTTACTTTTTCTGCTGCTGCATCGACCAAGGATGTTAATTTACTCTCATACCTAACTGTGATGTCTAGTACAAAAGCCTGATCTCCTTTAACAAATACCAGGTCCAGTTTAAATAGTTCATTTTGTTCACCTTTCAGCAGCAGCTCTTGGAATACTACCCATTCTTTCTCCTTGGCCTCATCCCCCAGTAATTCACATAACTGATTTCCAGCTTACTGCCCTGCTCCGGGTAAGTGGAGGGAGATCAGAGACCTGACTTGACACCAGCTATTGCACCTGATCTAAGAGAAAATCTTATTTTGCTGCATATCAATGCACTAGAGAATTAGAGCAGGTCTGAAGCAGGGCTGGATGGCAGCTCGGAAGTGTAGTTTCTCCAGTAGTTTCCTGGGCCAGTAAACTTCCCCTTGCATGTAAACCCTCATGGCTTATCCAGTCCTTCGACGTTAAGATATGGCCAAAATCACTGTCAAGTGAACAAAGTGGAATCCAGTGTTCTGCATTAATGAAATAAAGTAAGTATTTTAACTTCTGAAAGTGAACAGCAAATTCAGCTGCCTGACCAAGTCCTCCACATCTCACAGGAGGCCCCCACAGACACTCCCCAGTTAACAATTCATCCTCTGTTAAATCAGGTGGGCTTCTCCTCCTTAATCAGATCATTCTCCTGTACGCTCGGCTGCTCACTGACAAATTCTGCATAGCTAATACACTGCTTCCATCAACCAGCTCTTCGTTCAAAAGAGCTGAGCCAAATTTGGAAGAAAAAGTTGTAACAAAAGAATTACAACAATATTCAAAGCAGCAACAACATCAGGAAAAGATACACAAAAATGAAGCTACCTAAGAAAAATGTTTACTCATTTATGCTAACATTTAGGTTAAACACACAAAGATGATACATTTGTGTCAGAAAAAGGAATTTGACTGTTATTACTGGAAAACACACACCGTACACTGTTTTAATAGTCAAGTCCAAGCGCATGAGTCCTTAAAGGAACACAGTCGGATCGTCGGGGGAGAAATAGGGGAGTTGTGCTTTTGCTTTGTTTTTTGGGGTTTGGTTTTTTTTTTTTTTTCTTAATTCATTTTAGGTTTTAAGCCAAAGCAGATTTTTCTAGCATCGCTTCATCCCGCCAGAGAAAGCAGAATTCTACTGCAAATTCAGTGTTAGATGTGTGTTTTGCTGGATGAGCAAAATTAAATTTTATTTAAAGCATGGGACAACGAAATAACACTTCGGATTCATTTCCTTTTAAAAATGTTCCTGGTTGGATTTCAAACACTGGGAGAATATGGGCACAGAGGACTTGAGTTACAAAAAACCAACATTTTAATTAACTGCTTTATTGAAGACAGGGAATTCAACAAGAATTCCCATCAGTATTCAGAAGCCTATTAAAAATAATCTAAGTTTTATGCCTAGACTGATTAGTATCTGTTTCATAGTGGTACATACGCAAAGAAATATTACATCTACATTCCCCCCTCTTAAATTCAAAGTTATGCCTTTGGTTTACCCTCTCAAATTTATACTAGACTGTTTCTTCCCAACAAAAGAGCACGAGCCTTTGGTTTGCAGCTGGAACTGGCACAACCAGTAACCACAGCCCAACTGGTAAGCAGTGGCTGCGTAAGCCCTACAGCTTGGTCTCTTGCAGGTAGGTACCCACACACTTAGGCTGAGTGCTTCTTTCCATAGGAATAGTCTATCCATGAGCCGTTGTCTCCCCAGGTAGGTCAAACAGAGGTGGTCTAATTTACGGACAAGAGGCGGCAAGTCATAAACTGAAGTTTGTATTACTTTTCCTCCCCTGCTCCTTTATAAGCACGCAGCAAACCTCCAATTTAAAATATCTAATTCTGTAGCAATACTCTACTCTTCCTCACGAAGCCCTGTGTTAGCCTGCACCCATCCGCACGGGTCGAAACATTACTGACCTGTATCATGTACAGCTGCGCAAT